GATTTATAATTGATGAATTCATCAAATTGCAAATGTGAACAGTGATTTTTGAAGAATTTTTTACGAGCTACAAGCTGGTTGTGACAAAAAATGATTTTGTTTTAATTTGACCTTGAAATTCAAGGTCAATTTCTTAAATTCAATATTTCTCAAAATCTATTCTTTAAATTTTTTTCTAACCTATCCCAATAGAAAGCTTACCTTTTTTCCTATGAGACATGTAAAAATAAGAGTGGGACCTTGAGAAGTTTTGCAGAAAATAATTATAAATCATCATTTTCCCTATTAAGTAATAATAAATTATAATTTTCTGCAAAACTTTTCAAGGTCCCACTCTGATTTTTACATGACTCATAGGAAAAAAGGTAAGCTTTCCATTGGGATAGTTTAGAAAAAAAATAGAAAACCGATTTTGAGATATATTGAAATTAAGAATTTGACCTTGAATTTCAAGGTCAAATTAAATGAAAATCATTTTTTTGCATCACCAGCTTGTAGCTTGTAAAAAACCCTTCAAAAATCACTATTTATATTTGTAATTTGATTTATTTTACTTATTAATATATTAAAATTAAAAAAAGATATTTTGAAAAAGTCAAAATTTTGAATTCATCCAAAGAATTAAAAAAAAACATTTTTTTAAATAATTGATTTTTTCGACGAATTGAAATTAAATTTCTAAGAATAATTAAATTTTTTGAGTAATTCCTGTAAAATTGTATTTAAAATAATTGAAATCCTGCGATGAATTTTATTATTTATGAAAATAATTATAAATGTTTGCGTAAAATTTTATTAAAATTTTCAAAAATAATTGAATTCCTCAGAAAAGTTTTATTATTTATGAAAATAATTGAATTCTTGGCATGAATTTCATAAAAATCTAAAAGAATAATTAAATTATTTCAAAAAAATTTTAATTAAAATTGTATTTAATAAAATAATTGATTTCTTTTGAACAATTTTAATAAAATATTTTAAAATAATTCATTTCTTTCAAAGTATTATTTATGTAAATAATTGAATTCTTCCAAAGAATTTTATTAAAATCTAAAAGAATAATTGAATTATATCAACAAATTTGTATTAAATTTGTATTTAAAATAATTGCTTTCTTTCGAACAATTTTATTAAAATATTTGAAAATAATTGAATTTCTGTGGAAAATTCTAATATTTTTGTAAATAATTAAATTCAAGAATTTAAAAAAAAACATTTTTTTAAACAATATTAATTTTTTCGAGGAAATGAAATGAAATTTTTAAGAATAATTAAATTTTTTTTAGTAATTTCTGTAAAATTATATTTAAAATAATTGAAATCCTGCGATGAATTTTATTATTTATGAAAAGAATGAAATAGTTGCTAATAATATTTATAAAATTTTCATCTAATTAAATTCCTCACAAGAATTTTATTAATTTATAAAAATAATTGAATTATTACGAAAAATTTTAATAAAATGTTTAAAAAAAAATTAAATTTCTTCAATTATTTAATTTAAAATAGTATTAAAAATAATTGAAATTTTTCTATGAGTATTTATTAATTACGAAAATAATTAAATTTTTGCTTAGAATTTTATTAAACATTTTTTTTTTAAAATTGAATTTCCAGGAAAAATGTTATTATTAGTGAAGGTATTTAAATTATTGTGATAAAAATAATTGAATAATTGAATTATTTATAAATTAGGTAACTTAGTTCAACACAAAGAAATATCTATATAAATAAATTACGAAAAATTTTGTTCTCTTTTCCTACTTAGAATATTTTTTTAAAATATATTCATTTAACGATAGTCATAAACATTGTTCGTGTAATTGTACGTTTTATTATTTTTACATTTAGATAATGCATTTTATTATTATTATCATTATTACTTTTTAACATATAAAATATTTTATTACTGTTGAAAGTTGCAAGTCTCTTGAATATATTAAGGTCATTTTATAAATATTTTTTAGCAGTTATAAAAATTTCTTAATTTACTGTCAATAAGCATTACTTCTATTCAATAAATTAATTATGGAAATTATAATTTTGAACTCAAATAATATATATATATATAATAAAAAAGACATTAATAGTTGAGTTTAACGATAAGCTGCATTTATAAACCAATCATGATTTTTAGAGATAATCAATTCTTTTGTTTTATTTTAATCATTATTAATTTAATCTTTCGAAATTAAATATTACTATTAATAAAGTTGAAAAATTAATTATATTAATTTCTTTTCTTACTCGATATAATTAATTACTAATAATTAAATAATCACTAAAGTAATTAATATTTTTTGTTTGACGATAAATTTTTTTTTTTTAATTTAAAAAAATTTTTTTTTATGAAATATAAATATTTTACTTTTCAAGAAAATTTTAATATAATTAATTCATATGGTAATGTAAAAGTAAAATATTAATCAATAAAAATAGGACTTCTGGAATTTTTAAAAGCAATTTATTGAATTTTCAAAATAATAAATAATAAGATAAGATGAAATGTGTAATGTGTGTGTTTGTCATAAAATGAAAATGTTAAAAAAAAATATTCAACAAGTATTTTTATTTTTTTGTAAAAGTATAGTAAAATAAAATTTACTAGAAAATATTTATTGCGTGAAAAATGTCCGTTCTAGTAATTATTTTATAAACAATATTAATTAACAATTGTAATATTTTATTAATTTCTGTATTTATAAAAAAAATGAAATTAAAATAAAATTTAAAAATTAATAAAATAAAGAAAATAATATAAAATATAAGAAGTTTATTGAAATTGATTTTTTGTATAAACATAATTATTAATTTAATGTAAATTACAATTTTTGCAACAATTTCATTAATTTTTCATTTTTTAAAATTTATTTTTAGCATTTTTTTATAATAATAAAACAATAAAATTTAATAACTAACATAATAAACAAAGAAAATTACTTTCACCTTTTAAAAAAAGTTGTAAAAATTTTAAAAAATTACATCATAAAATAATAAATATGTTTTATTGTTTTAAAAATATTATACGTTAATTAATAAATGCATAATTTTATCATTTATTAGAATGAAGAGTTTTTTTTGTTAATCAGAGATTGATGAAAAATAAAATAATATATGTTTCTGATTGACACAAGATTAGAAAATTATAATAATATCTCATAAAAATTGTGAATATCAAAATGAGATAAATGGTCATTGACCAATAATAATTTGTCGTAATGACATCTAAACAAGCTTTCTATCTTTAATGAATTCTGTAGTTAAAGATCTGCTAATTACGGATAAAAAATAATTAAGATAAAAACAGTAAGAATAATAATGATAATAATAATTATGATTACTATTATCATCATTATTATTTTTTTATTGTTATATTATTATTATATTTACTTATTTTTTCTTATTATTATTAATAAACAATATTTTATACTTTTCACTATTTAATAACAATTTTTAAATTTATTTAAAAAATCAATTGTTATTTGTAAAGGAAAACAAATTTCTTATTTGTTTATAACAAAATTATAAATAAAATTTATATCTTTCTAAAGAAATAAATATTTTATTAGATATTATTTATTTTATTATTGATTATTTTTTGAATTTGTTTAATGAATCAATTGCTATTTATATGATAAGCAATTTATAACTTTCTTATTTGTTTATAATAATTTTATAAACAAAATGCATGTTTGAATTAAAATAATTATTTTTATTTAATCTTATTTGTTAACTTTATTATTCTTTTTTTAAATTGTTTATGAAATCAAAATATATTTATAACTTTCTTATTTGTTTACAACAATTTTATAAACAAAATGCATGATGGAAAAAAAAATTATTTTATTCAATCTTGTTTCTCAACTTTATTATTCATTTTTTAATTTGTTTATGGAATCAAAATATATTTTCATAAAAAAACAAATTTTTTTTTTATTATTACAATTTTATAAACAAAATGCATTTCGATGAGAATAATTATTATATTAAATATTCTTTATGAACTTTATTATTAATCACTTTTTGAATTTATTGTTATTTGTATAAAAAAAACACTCTTTAAATTCCTTATTTGTTTATTACAATTTTATAAACAAAATGCAAATTTAAAGAATAAATATTTTATTAACTTTATTAATTTTTATAAATTTTAAAATTTATTTGAGGAATCAATTGTTATTTGCATAAAAAATTTTTTTTAACTTTTTATTTGTTTATAACAATTATATAAAAAAATGCATTTTTCAAAAAATAATTATTTTATTGTATTAACTTTATGAATACTAATTATTATTTCAAATTTGTTAATAGAATAAATGGTTCTTATTGTAATAAATAATTCTAAACTTTCTTTTGAATTTATAACAATTTTATAAACAAATGACTTACAAAATTAATTTTTACACTAAATATTATTCATTAAAAATATATAATATATTATTTATTAACTATTATTCTTCACTTTTTGATTTTAATCGTAGAATCAATTCTAATTTGTTTAATTAACAATTTTGTAACTTTCCTATTTGTTTATAACAATTTTTAACTTTCCTATTTGTTTATAACAATTTTTAACTTTCTTATTTGTTTATAACAATTTTATAAACAAAATGCATCCAGCTCAAAAGTAAACTAAAGTAATGAATAACTTTTTTTATTATAATATAAAATTAAATTAAAAAAATAAATAAAAAAAAAATTTTTTTTAATTTTTTTTTTAAAGTTACTAATTAAAAAAAAGTGATCTATAAAAACAAAAAAACATAGGCGTACACAAAATTCTAACTTGAGGTATAAACAAAAAGAATGAATGAAAGAATTTTGTCGATTATTATAGTTAATTAATAACTAATTAATTAATATTGTTAACAATAAGAGAAAAATTCCAATTTCACTTTGTATACAATATAATTATATATGTGAAATGGGGAATTTCCACATAGTCAATAATTAAGCACAATGTTCAATTGAACAAGAAGAATGGTTCATTATTATCAGATAATTGAATTCATTAGAGAAAAATATTTGCTTAAATACTGTTGAAACTTGGAAAAATTTTCAAGTCTAGTCGTAAGGATTATCCGTACGTAATTATTATTGATGCGTGTGCAGGTCATTAACAGAAAAAAAATAAGGTAGTCATTTAGGTACGACAAAAATTTTTGAAATGAAATTTGAAAAAAAAATTTCCAATACCATGGCATTTTAAATTTGGCTTACGTGATGCGCAGTTACTTTTTCTTCTACCGTCCTAAAATATAAGTTGCTGTGAATTTATCACAATATTTATATATTTAAATATATATATATAATATATATGTGGAGTGAATTTATATTAAAAGTGTTTTTTATCATCGAAAATTGGTAAGTTTTTTAATTCAATTTCTTTATTTTTGTAAAAAAAAATTAAATTCTAAATAATAAGAATAATAATTGTCAATTATTTGTTTTCTAATTAAAAAAAAAAAAAAAAATTTATGAAAATCAAAATAGTCACTTTGTTTGTTAAATAATAAAGAACGATTAGAAAACTAAAATAATAAACTAATTAATCTATTTTAATTAATTAATTTAAATTAATAATTTTATATTAATTATTTAAAAAAAATTTAATTCCGTTCTTTTTCTGTTACTACTATTTTTATACTTAATATTTATTTAAAATTGTTTAACAGTTATAATAATTAATAATTAATAATTATATAAAGTTAATAATTAATTTTTCAGACGACGGTGATTATTTTTTGTGAACGCTCAGTGATATTAATTTTATTTCAATCCAAATATGTATCTACTCGCTATATTTTTATTTATTCACACTTCTTCGGCTGATTATTATCAGGTAAAATTTTTACTTTATATTTGAAAAATTTTTTTTCATTATATTTTTTTATAAATTTATTTAAATACTAAATTCTTTATTTATTATCAAAAAGTGAAGTTTATATTTGTTATTTATCATAAATTTTTAGATAAACTATCCAGATTCACAAAGCAATAGTATGCCATACTATCAAGTGTCACAACAGACAGGTAAATTTTATTTTTTAAATTAAAATTTTTAAATTAATATTAATAATAATAATAATAAAGAAAAAATAATAATAGTATTTATAATTAAGATGATCATATAATAATTACAATTATAACAATTAATATAAAAGAATGATAATAAAAAATAATTATAAATAATAAATAAATAATAAATAAATAATAAATTGTAATAAACAGAGAAATTTCATTATTATTTGTTTATAAGTAATTTATTTAAAAAAAAAAAATTATTTATAAAGTTCATTATTAGTTCATAATACCTAATGATAAATAATTATTATTATCATAATTATTATAATTATTTAGGGGCATTTGCACCATTATGACGTCACTGTTGTAAAACACAATAATTATAATTTTATTATTAAATTTAATTTATAATTTAGTAGGAATTTATTTATTTTTTAATTATTATTATTAATACCTAATAATAATTTTAAAAAAATTTTTTTTAATTATTATTATTAATTATAATAATTATTGCTATTACACTAATAAAAAATAATACTAATAACAATTTTTTGTTTTTCATTTAAAAAAAATTTTTTTTTTGCAGGCACTGAATATGCAGTTAATCAGGATAATAATCATAATAATAAAGTTACAAGTGGAGGATTTCTAGCAAATTGGAATACGCCAGTTTACATTGCCCAGTCAAATTATATGTATCCAAACAATATACAGTATGTTTTACAGTCAGGGGCAAGTACTTTTTTTCTTTTTTAAATTCTAATATAATCTATTTTTTTTTATTGGTAAATTTTTTAAAAAATATTTTTTATTTATAAATTTTTTTAAAAATATTTTTCATTTATAAATTTTTTTTCAAAATATTTTTCATTTATAATTTAATGTAAAAATTTCCCACAACATCGATCATATGATTCATTTTGTAAGAAGTTTAAAAAAAAATTCTTATAAAAGAATTAAATAATAATTTTAAAGTTCATAATTTTTTTTGACACTTACCTATAAATATTAATACTAAATTAATTTTTGATTTTAGATTATGCAAAATATTCCTCCTGTTTATAACAGTGGTCAAGACTACAATGTAAGAAAATTTTTAACTAAAATTAAAAAATTAAATTTTTTATTTCAAAATAATAATAATAAGAATAATTTTTTTTTTTTTTTTTTTAATAATAATTTAAAATTAATAAGCACTTTACTTTTATTTTGACTTTTACACTCTACTTTTATTTTTTAGGATTGTTATAAAACAAATACTGCCGGAAAGAGGCGCAGAAGAGCTATAATTGGTAACTAATTTTAATCGTTAAATTTTACTTTACCGAATGTTTCATAAAAATTAATTTAATCAGGTACTTTAATTTCAATTACTTTATTGTAATTAATTTTATTAAAATAATTAAATATATAATTATATGTGGCGTTCTCCCTATAAAGACACCTAAGAAGAAAATTACTTTAAGGTTATGTTTATGTTCTTTTTACTTTAATTAAATGATTCCTTTTAATTATGTAAATTTAAAAAATATTTATATTCAATATTTAGTATTTAATAAAGACCTAACTATAAATAATTTGCAATAGAAATTAATTCTTTTTCTGTATTTTTACTCCAAAAATTATAAACATAACCTTAAACTTTGTGCTTCTCCTTTCTTGAAAGCGCGTCACATATATTTCTAATTATTTATATTAATTACCTTATTTATATGTATTTTTATTTAATTACTGATAATGAGATTTTAATTATTTATTTATTTATTTTGAATTAATTCTATTTAATTACTAATACATAATTAATGTAATTTTAATTATTTAAATTAATTTTATATAATTAATTATAATTAATTATATTTAATTAATTTTATATAATTAATTATATTTAATTATATATACATTATTCGATTACTTTATAATTACCTTAATAATGAAAAATTTAATGATTGTACTCTAATATGTAAACTCGTGATTTTTAGAAGGTCTACCATACTATCAATCGTGTGATTATTATGGATCAAGCGTAAATAATGTTTATCCAGAAATTCTTGTTATGGTCGACAGTTTGCTTTTTAGGTAAATATTCACTGAAACATTTAAATTTTATTTTTCCTTTAATTTTTAAGTCCTGACTGCTTTTTGATAAGCTCTTAAATTTATTTCTGTTTCTAAATTTTAATTATCATTTTTTGTTGAATTTTTACAGTAGATTACGAATCTTTGAGTAAAATTTTTCTCGAAAACCCCCATGTAACAAGTTTCAGGCAAATGCATTTAATTTTTAAAAAATCGCCCGCCATATTGGATCCGCCATGTTGGATTTTGAAGAACTAACATCACATTCGTAATCTACGGTCAAACTTCTATAAAATCTTGTATAAAATATTTTCTTTTTCGAATATCGTAATAAGTGCAATTCTCGTAATTTATTATTTTAATTCTTTATGTAAAAAATTAGAATTATTTTTTCAGCCACTTTGGAAATGATATTTATCGAACAGTAGAATATGTTGTGTCGTTTTGGAAGCAAGTGGACATAAGATTTGGAAATTTGAGGAGTCCTGGAATTCTAATAAACATTGCTGGAATTGTTATAGTTCAGGTACAGTTATTTTTTGTCAGTACCTTTATTTATAGTATTCTTATTTTTTTTATTCTTTTTTATTTTCTTTTCGGATTTTAATTTTTGTTCTTGTTGTTAAATTTCAATTTTTAACATCAATTTTTTTTTGTTAAATTTTAATTACAATTTTTCAAATGACAGGATCAACTGCCGTTCTCTAACTATCAAGCAAGTTATTCTTACAATTTCGTATTAGATGAATTCAGTAGATTTTTATACAATCAAAACAGCTTTAAATTCCACACTGATTATGATATTGCCGTTCTTATGACGGGAAGTAATTTAATGCACATCGGTTACGGCAGCGATGTTGGTGGTAAATTTACATTACATTTAATTCTTTACATCTAAATACAAACAAAAATAAATTTTAAGCATAAAAGAAAATGTTCGTCGATAGTAAAAATTATTTTTAATATTCCTTTCTAGGTGTAGCATTTACAGGCGGAGCTTGTAAACAAGTGTCAAATATGATTTACAGCGCAGCGATTATAAAAGATGATGGCTCTTATGGTGGTGTTGTTTCTGCAACTCATGAAGTAGCTCACATGTAAGTGGAAATTATTTAATTATTTAATTATTAATAATAAGACTGTGTAGACAATTTATTATTATTATTTTCTAGTTCTGTACAATCTAAAATTTGTTGATAAAAAAAAACATTTTAAATACAGACTTGGTGCTTACCACGATGGTGATCCCGGTGATCCAAGTCAAGATCTTCCAGGAGCATCGGGATGTCCCTCAGAATATGGTTATATAATGAGTCCAATTTCTATGAACAGAAATCAATTTAAATTCTCACCATGCAGTCAGCAATCCATCACTTACAATTTAAAGTAATTATTACTATTATTTAATTTTAATTTCCCTTTTTTTATATTTCATAACATAACATAACATAACATAACATAACATAACATAACATAACATAACATAACATAACATAACATAACATAACATAACATAACATAACATAACATAACATAACATAACATAACATAACATAACATAACATAACATAACATAACTAACATAACATAACATAACATAACATAACATAACATAACATAACAGAACATACATAACATAACATAACATACATAACATAACATAACATAACATAACATAACATAACATAACATAACATAACATAACATAACATAACATAACATAACATAACATAACATAACATAACATAACATAACATAACATAACATAACATAACATAACATAACATAACATAACATAACATAACATAACATAACATAACATAACATAACATAACATAACATAACATAACATAACATAACATAACATAACATAACATAACATAACATAACATAACATAACATAACATAACATAACATAACATAACATAACATAACATAACATAACATAACATAACATAACATAACATAACATAACATAACATAACATAACATAACATAACATAACATAACATAACATAACATAACATAACATAACATAACATAACATAACATAACATAACATAACATAACATAACATAACATAACATAACATAACATAACATAAGAAATACCCATAATGCCCAAGCCAGTTCAAAGGACATTCCAAAAAGACATTTTTTGGAACGTTCCAAAAACGTTCTAAAGTAAATAAAGTGAAATAAAGTTGAACAATTTTAAAAATTCTTTTTCAGTCGAGAAGCTACTAATTGCCTACGTAATTACCCAACTGTCAAGAATGGAGTTTCAAGTGGTGGAACTTTCCAAACATTATTAACTGGCAAGTGAATATCATTATGAAATTGAATGAAAAAAATCAAGGGTAGGTGAATATTTCATAGGAGTGTAAATTTTAGACAGAAACTATTTTTATTTTAATTTATTACACATACTGAACGTGTTATTTAATCATTAATTTAAGTAGAATATGTATTTATTTAACTTTTGTAAATATGCAATTCGTTTTTATCTATTGTCATCAGTAGAGATAATATTGTAAAGATGTTAATGAAATTTGTTCTTTTCTATCTATTTAAATAGTTATAATAAAGCCATAATAGATCAAGAGTAATCAATGTGCATAAAGCGTCAATAAATTTATTTTATTACATTAAAAAAACGACGTTTTTTTATACAATCCTACCTACATAGTAGGTTCTATACATCTAGTAGAAGGAAAAAATGGGTAACATACAAACATATTTTGCGGTGAACCGTCACGTTATCTTAATTGTTTTAAATTCATTGTTATAATTAACAAAAAAAATTAAAATACGTAATAATTTACGAATTTGAAGAACTGATTCCATTATAGGAGGATCAATGAAACATTATATTATGAATTAATTCTTGAGCTCAATTTTAGTGCATTCCAGAATTATTACTCTAGTCTGAAAGGTTTTTCGTAAAGATGCTTTCCAACTGTTTCCAATGCAGTCCATTAGATCGTTTAAGGAGAATTTGAGTAGAAGTGGTTCGCCTTGTGAGTCATAAAAGACGATACTAAAAACTCAAATGACTGTCTGTTCTTTACCAATTGGCGAATTATTTCGATCTTAGTAGGTAATGATATCTGTAGTTTTATGCCTACAAAATGATCGCCGCGATTGGAGTCGAGATTTTTAAAATTAGTTACAAATATATAAACAGGTTTTTAATATTAAACGACTAATCATTTTTTAATATCATATTTTTTACTCCCCTAAGAAAAATTTCATCAAGGGAATGTCGATACGATTTCGAAAAGCTTTAATGGAAAGTCATAACTAGTCTTGATTTAATAAATTTTAATTTTTCAGTAATTCAGTTTTCACTTGCGCACTGACATGAAAAAATCATCAAAAAATTAACTCGACTGCAAAACAGTTTAAGAAACTGTAAAACTAGAGACAAAAAGTGTATCTATATAAACCTTAACCGCAATTCTTAAACTGTGAGGCTCTAAAATACAAAATAATGCTTTGCCCATTTGTTTCAATGAGTTCGCTATTACGTGCTCAACATCTTTGAATAGTCTTCCTGCTTATTTTATGACGACTTTTATTTCCTTTGCATTGTTCCATTTTTACTAGTCGTATTTTCACAAATAAATTTCTCGCTTGATATAGTAAATAAATGCGCGAATCTATATAGTGGCTCTCTATTTTATTTCAATTTAAATAAATTAACTGCGATGGAAAAGAAGACCTATGGAATTGGGAAGAGATTCAAACTCTGTATTAATATATATATAAATTTTTGTTGTATCCTATATTCTCTTGGCTTAAAAATCATTGCGAATTAAATTAATAGTATGTAATCAGAATATAATATTTCAAGGAAGTCAGCAGGCGAAGAGCTTCTTGGTAAATATTTGGATGTGAATCCTGAATATTCAAGAGCACCACAGGAAGATGAAAATTATTCTTTGTTTTGGTCCTGTCAAAACACTGTGGTCTGTTAGATTTCGTGTATTTTTGTACAAAAGTCGTTTGGCGCATTTATATGTGTGCCTCTACATTTGAACACATGTACTCAAAGCACATTCACATATAAACTTCCATCTTTATAGAGAAGACACATGTACATATAAATGTGCACATGTACATATAAATGTGCACATGTACATATAAATGTACACATGTATTATACATGTGCATATTAACATACACTTATACACTAAACACATATACATATAAACGTACACATGTACATATTAACTTGCACATATACACTAAACACATTCACATATAAAAGTACTTATTTAAACTTACACATGTACACAAAACGCGTTCACATATAAATTTACACATATACATATTAACTTACACATATACGCAGAACATATTTCACATATAAACTTACACATATATACACATGCACACAAAACACATTATCATATATAAACTAAATCATATAAACAAAACACATATGTACAAAAAACACATTCACATATAAACGTACATATATATATATATATATATATATATATATATATATATATATATAAACTGACACATGTACACAAAACGCATTCACATCAATTCACATATAAATTTACACATATAAATATCAACTTATACACATATACACAAAACACATTCACATATAAATTTACACATGTGCATATTAACTTACACATATACACTAAACACATTATTCACATATTAACGTACACATATAAACTTACACATGTAAGTTATAACATGTGTACATTACAAAACGCATTCACATATAAATTTACACACATACATATTAACTTCCACATATACACAAAACGCATTAACATATAAATTTATACATATACACAAAATACATTCACATATGAACAAAACACATATATTGTATATATAAACACACTTATAATATAAAATAGTTATTTTAACACTTGATCCTCTTTAATTATTATAAAATTTATTCAAAATTACTTTCATCACACTTCAGTTCAATTATTGTTTTACAGAATTTTTTTTGAAAATTCTTCTTTAAATTAATTATTTTTAATAATTTTTTGAAAAATTTCTTTGATAATTTTCAAAATTCTTTTTTTTACAATTCAATTTTACGAAATTTTATCGATTATTCAGAAATTCTTCAATTGTATATTAGAAAATAAAAACTTGAAATAATTTTAAAAAAAAATTCCATTTAAATTTTTCAAAAAAATTAATTCCACAGAATTGTTAGTTAAGAGTATGAAAAATTTAAACATTCAAAGATTTTGATTTGAAACCTCTTTAAAATTCAATTATTTCTAAAAATTCAATCTAAATTCTCTCTAAATTTTATAATTAGTAAAAATGTTTACTAATTGGAATTAGTGACTGAATTTTTGCTTTTGAATTAGTAAATTTTACTATTAAATTAATAGAAATAATTATTTAGGTATCAGTGAAATCTGTTAATTCAAAAGCAAAAAGTCAGTCAATATAATTCAAATTAGAAAACATTTTTACTAACTCAAATTTAGAGAGTTTAATATTTAATTATTATCTAAAATTTTAACTGAAATTCATACAATAAATCAATTTTTATTAGAAAATTCTACGAGAATATTCAATTATTTAAATAAAAAAATAAATAATTTACTGAAAAATTGAATTGTTTTTTAAAATTGAACTCTCATTTAAAGAATTTCATCAACAAATTTTTAAATTTTAGGTAATTAAAATTTTTTTGACGAATTTCAATAAAATTTTTAAGAATATTTTCATTTTTCGAGAAATTAGATTAAAATTTTATTAAAAATAATTGAAATCTCTGTAAAAAAAAATGTAAAAGAATTGAGATAAGTTTTTAAAAATAATTGAAATTTTGTCAAGAATTTTATTAAAAATTTTTTGAAAATAATTTAATTTTGGAGAAAAATTTTATTATTTATAATGATAATTGAAATTTTTACGATCATTTTTTTTAAACTTTTGAACATAATTGAATTTCTGCGAAGAATTTGATTAACTTTTGAAAAATAATTGAATTTTTCAGACGAATTTTTAAATACCTATAATTGAATTCTTTTCGAGAAATTCCTTTATAAAATTTGAATTATAAATAATTAAAGTTTAACGATGAGTTTTATTATTTATGAAAATAATTGAATCTCTGTAGAAAATTTGATTGAATTGAGAAAAGTTTTTGAAAATAATTGAAATTTTGCCAAGAATTTTATTAAAAATTTTTGTTTAAAAATAATTGAATTTTGGAGAAAAATTTTATTATTTATAATGATAATTGAAATTTTAACGATAATTTTTTTAAACTTTTGAAAAAATTCAATTTTTGCGATGAATTTTATTACTTTTTGAAAATAATTGAATTATTGAGACGAATTTTTTAATAATATTTCTTTTTAAATACCTAATTTTGAATTTTTTCGTGAAATTTTATCGAAATAGTAGATAGCATTGAAAATAATTGAATTTTGATAAATTATTATTGAAATTATTTTTCCTACGAAGAATTTGATTAAAATTATATTGAGAAAAATTGAATTGTTAAATTAAGAAATTCATTAAAATTTTTGGAAATAATTTAATTCTTTCAAGAAATTTAATTAAAAATGTATTGACAATACTTAAATATTCTAATAAATAAATTGTAGGAAGGCTTTTTAAAATAATTGAATTTCTTTGATGAATTTTAATAAAATTTTTAAGAATAAATACATTTTTCGAGACATTAAGTTAAAATTTGCATTAAAAATAATTGAAATTCTGCGATGAGTTTTAATATTTATGAAAATAATTGAAAAACTGTACTTAATGTTTTTTATTATTTATGAAAATAATTGAAAACCTGTAAACTTTCTTATTATTTATGAAAATAATTGAATCTCTGTAAAAAATTTGATTATATTTATGAAAATAATTGAATTATTGCAAAAAAATTTATAAAGAATTTGTAAATAATAAAATTCCTGTGAAATTTTCATTATTTAATTAGTTCATTCAAAATTGAAATTTTACAAAAATAACAATAATTTTTAAAAATTTTATAAATTAATTCGCAGTGTAAATAACGTTAAAACTAAACCTACTTATCTAGCTATTAACTGTAGTAAAATTGAAATTTATTTTTATTTATTTTTTTTTAATTTTTTTTTCAAATTTATTTTACAATTCTTAACTTTTAACAAATAAAAATAATAAAGTGTTAAAAAGTTCAATAAACTGTAGACATATCAAGAGACTTGAAATTCATTTGAAAAATTATTCATAATTGAGAATTTCATGATATATAATTTCAGTTTAAAGATGATATGTTCGCTGTGGCACGCAACTTTGCAGATGCATTTTTTTACCCCTTTAAACGCAATTAAGAATCAAGTAAAAATCGTTGCGAAACGATATACGGAGATAAAGGCGTGGAATAAACATTTTAGTGAACCACGAATTCCAATCAGATCCATTATACCTGTGTGCACTGGTCTTTATTTCTACTTACGCATAAAAGAGACCTCTCTTTCATCGCGTGGCAAATAATCAAATTAAAGAATCGAGCCAACGAGTTCTTAATTAAATTCTGCTTTTCACTCGACTCGCCAAACACTTAACACGCACTCATTTCATATATATTTATAAATACACATGGAAACAAGTGATGATCAATTTTACTCTGATAATATTTGCTCCTGTACAATTA